AAATTCTCCATTAAATTAGCTTTACATATGATAGGATTTTAATAAAACCTCAAGAGATTTTTTCTGGGGGCTATGGAGAGAACCTGAGAAAATTTAAAGTTCATCTGATGATGTTATATATGCAAAGAAAAGAGGCAAGAAGGCCAGGCACGGTGGCTCACGCCTGTAATCCTAGCTCTCTGGGAGGCCGGGGTGGGAGGATCGTTTGAGCTCAGGAATTCGAAACCAACCTGAGCAAGAGGGAGACCCCATCTCTACTATAAATAGAAAGAAATTAATTGGCTAACTAATATATATAGAAAAAATTAGCTGGGCATGGTGGCGCATGCCTGTAGTCCCAGCTACTAGGGAGGCTGAGGCAGGAGGATTGCTTGAGCCCAGGAGATTGAGGTTGCTGTGAGCTAGGCTGATGCCACGGCACTCACTGTAGCCTGGGTAACAAAGCGAGACTCTGTCTCAAAAAAAAAAAAAAGAAGCAAGAAGATTTCAGGGGAAAAAAAGAAAAACCTGAACTGCCAGACATTAAAACATAATGATACAATAGCTAAGACAGAGTGATTTGAAAAGGTTAATAAAACAATAGATGAAATGGAAAATCACTAAATAGGCCCAAGTGTACACATGTTTTTAATATATGCTTAAAGTAGCAACTTCAATCACTGGGGAAATAGATGGATTATTCAATAAGTAGAGCTAAAGCAATCAGTTCGCTACTACAGAAGAAAATAAATTAGATCCCTAGTCATACTCTACCCAAAAACTAATTCATCCAGATGAAGAATTAAATGTGAAAAAGTAAAATCACAAAGAACTAGGAAAAAACAGAAGTACCACATTTGCCTTATCTCAGAATGGGGAATGCCTCTCAAAGCATAAAAGAAAACATTGAAAACATAAAGGGTGGCAGGTTGGACTATAAAAAGTTTAAAACACATGTTTGGAAGAAGGACAAATAAAAAGAAACAAAAAAACTACAAAGTTCAAATGGAAATGAAACAGTGGAAAAACCTTTATAAATTATAAAACAAAGAATAATAGCCTTAACATATAAACAGCACTTCCAAAACCAAGAGAGAAAAACACACGCTGCGGTATAATGAGCAAAGGACAGGCAATAAACACATTTTTAACTCATCCACTATCTTTCCACAGATCACGGCATTAAAAAAAAAAAAAGGAGGGTGGATGTGGGGGTTCTCAGAGACATAACAACCCCAGACGCAATGAGTAAGCCTTCCCAAATCCAGGTTCAAGCAAACCAACTGTAAAACGACACCTTGGAGACGAAGGGTGACTGAATAGGAACTAGGTATTAGGTATAATAAAGAATTCATGTCAATGTTGCTAGGTGTGACAATGGTATGTATGGTAATTATGTAAGAAAATGTCCTTTTTTAAATGAGATGCACGCTAAAGAATCTAGGATAAAATGTCAGGACATCGATAATTTACTTTAAAATACTTCAGCCTTACTGAGAAACCAGAACAGAGCAAAAAACTAAAACATAAATTTAAACAAATTTCAGCCAAAAAAGAAACAGGTGGCACAAATCTGGCAATAATGTTAATAATTATCAAATAGGGGGAAAGATCCTTTGTTTTTAAATAAATAATATCCAATATATGCCAAGGTACAATAGAAACCAGCAATTTCAGCCACTGTGGATGGGAGGGCAAATTAGAACAGATTTCACGGGACTGGAAGCATTTCAGATTTCACATTTTTTTGGATTTGGGAATATTTGCATATACTTAATGAGATATTTTAGGGATAGGACCCAAGTATGAACACAGAATTTAATTATGCTGTTCATGTATGATCTCAATTTTATTTCTCTGACATCATAATTATTGATATATGTCTACACACAGGGAAAAAATTCAAAAGGGCATTCATCAAAATGTTACCAATATCCTACTGAATATTTTTGAGGGAATTTCATTTATGTTTCATATACATTTTATACACATAGCCTGAAGGTTATGCAATAGTTTTAATAATTTTGTGCATGAAACAAAGCTTTCGTACACGGAATCATCAGAAAGCAACTGTGTCAAATGTGGAATTTTCCACTTGTGGCATCCTGTCAACACTCAAAAAGCCTCAGATTTTGGAGGATTTCAGATCTCGGGTTTTCAGATCAGGCATGCTCAACTTGGAGAACTTTCTGGAGGATAACTTGGCAACATGTGTCAAAACCCCTGAAAAATGTCCACGGTTCAATAATTTATCCCAAGTAAATTCTCAGCAATGAGCACAAAGATTTGTAACCTTCTAAGTTTATCATAGCATTATTTATGACTGTGAAATACTGAAAATACCCAAATGTTCAACCATAAATTTTCACACAGGTGTATGATAGGCTTCAGGCAGTCATCAAAAACTGAATTTTAGGCCAGGCATGGTGGCTCACGCCTATAATCCTAGCACTCTGGGAAGCTGAGGGGGGAGGATCTCTCAAGGTCAGGAGTTTGAGACCAGCCTGAGCAAGAGCAAGCCCCTGTCTCTACTAAAAAAATAGAAAGAAATTAGCTGGACAACTAAAAATATATCCAAAAGGTAGAAACAACCCCAAGTGTCCACTGACAGATGAATATATACAAGGTGGTATATCCATAAATGCCCAGCTACTTGGAAGGCTAAGGCAGGAGGATCACTTGAGGCCAGGAGTTCAAGTCCAGCCTATGCAACATAGCAAGACCCTGTCTCAACTTTTTAAAATATTTTTTTAAAAAGTTCATAGAGATAAAAAGTAGAATGGTGGCTGCCAGAGACTAGAGGGAGGGGAGAATGGGGAATTATTGTTTAATGGGTACAAAGTTTCAGTTGCACAATATGAAAAGTCCTGAGGATGGATGGTGGTGATGGCTGCACAGGATCAATGTACTAATACCTCTGAACTATACACTTGGCCAGGTGAAGTGGCTCATGCCCGTAATCCTAGCACTCTGGGAGGCCAAGGTGGGAGGATGGATTGAGATCAGGAGCTTGAGGTTGCAGTGACCTATGATGATATCACTGTACTCTACCCAGTAAAAAAAAAAAGAACAGTATGCTTATAATGATTAACATAATAAATTTTATGTTATGTGTACTTTATCATAATTAAAAATAAATAAGGATATACTGATACAGGCCAGGCATGGTGGCTCACACCTGTAATCCTAGCACTCTGGGAGGCCGAGGTGGGAGATCTCTCAAGGTCAGGAGTTTGAAATCAGCCTGACCAAGAGCGAGACCCCGTCTCTACTAAAAATAGAAAGAAATTAATTGGCCAACTAAAATATACAGAGAGAGACAAAATTAGCCGGGCATGGTGGCGCATGCCTATAGTCCAGCTACTCGGGAGGCTGAGACAGAAGGATCGCTTGAGCCCAGGAGTTTGAGGTTGCTGTGAGCTAGGCTGACACCAAGGCACTCTAGCCTGAACAACACAGTGAGACTCTGTCTCAAAAAAAAAAAAATATATATATATACCTATCAGTATAATGTACGTATGTACATATTAGTACTACTACATATATAGGCCACCCATACGACAACCACACGAATACATTTTAAAGATAAAAGAAAGGCATGTTACAAAATAGTATGTTCATGTCTGATCTCAACTTAGGTTTCCCTGACATCACAAATATTGATATATGTCTATCCACAGGGAAAAAAGCTCATCAAAATGTTACCAATACCTACTAAATAGTCTTGAGGAAAAAAATGTTAACAATAATTATCACTAGGTGCTGTGCTGATGGGTAGATTTGTTTTCTTTGTGTAACTATGGGGCTTTTCTGTAGTTTCTCATTTCTACAATTACTTTTGTTAATCAAAAGCCACAGTATGTTAACTAGACAAAGGAAGAAGGAAAAAGACACTCAGACTGGGTGCCTTATCCTAATGTGAGAACATCCACCAGTATATTTCCAAATCACATAATAAATATCATTTGATAATCGAATTATATAAAAGGCAGGCTAGAGGTTTGGGAAAATAAAGACTGACTGAGAAGAAGACAAAGCATCAAGAGGTTCCTGCAGAATTAAAATAGAGGCATATCCCTGGTTTTGAACAATTCCTCAGGCCACAGTGAGTTCTGCACATCTCTGTGTGCCCAGAAAAAAGGAAAAAACCAGAATAGGCTCAAACACCTTCCAAGTGGCCCATTGCTTGAAAAAACAGACTCAGAAAGAAAAGACTCTTAAGCCAATGCAAGGCTCTCCCTGGGACTGAACACTCCCTGCCCCCATACATCTCTTAAGCTAAATCCACTTTCAGAAAATATTTTCTAGACAGCAGACATCAAGAGAGAAAGGAGCCTTTCTTTCTGCAGTATTCGCTCACCGCACATGGACTGCTCTGAATAGAGGCTTTATGAGTGAGGGTCCAAATACCACAGCCACGGGTTATGCCGCTGACCACAAACAGCAATAAATAGATGTGCGGATCTATACGTCCATGCAGCACAGGCACCCTGGATAACGAAGCTGAAGCTTCCATCACATTCCAACACCCAGTACATGTTTACCGAGCACCCACTAAGTGCAGGACACTATTCATAACGCTGTCCCAGACGGACACACACACGCATGCACACGTGCACATAGACACACAGCTCCTTTGTTCTGTTCTAGGGCTCAGGCTGGAAGAGCAATGATTTAGGCTGGAGGCATTTGACAGTTTCATTCGACATATCGCACATCATGTCCTGGGTTGGGAAGAACAGCAGACAGAGGGAAAGTTCCTCGCCCCCGCCACATCTCCCAGTAAGGGCCAGAGGAAACACAGCACTGCAGCCCACCACAGAGGCCCTGGACAACAGGGGCTGATCTCTGCAGTGGAGGCAGGAAGCTCTCAGCCCACTCCACAGCCTGAGCACCCAAGGGGAGCAGAGCCACCGCAGCCCCTGTTCCCAGGAGCAACTGCATCAATCACCAGGTGTATCTGCCAGGCCCTCCCCACACCCAGCAATGACTCCTGCCAGCGCCCCCCTCACCATACGTACTTTTGCCTCCATTGTTCTTCAGGACGTTGGAGAGGTTGACAGAGGCCGTGCCTAGCAGCTCATTTCTCAAGGTGTGGCAGCTCCAGACCTTCAAATCTAAATGACTCTGGGCCGTGACATTCCTGGAAAACAAGTACTCGATTCATCACATCCAGGCAGCAGATCGGTCATTCCTATAACTTAGAAGAAAACGGCTAAACTACACTGCTGACATCGTGGCGGCAGAACCAAAACAGGAAGACACCCACATGTCCCCTTTCCCTCCACGAAGCTGACCCTGTAACCCTCTAGCTAACAATGGACACTCTATGAGCTCAATGATATAGGAACTCCTACAGCGAGGCCCCTTAGGTACCACAGGCAGAAGAGGCTGAGGCTCCACCAGCACCCTGTGCCTTCCACTGCCCCCTCGGAGCACCCTCTCTCCTTTCCCCAGCTTACTGCATCCAGAAAGAAGGAGACTGTCTCTTACAAGATGATGATCTCATTCCAGAGAAGCTCTGAGCTCCCAATGCGCTTCCCAGTCTTCTTGGTCTCACTGGGGAGTCCATCCACCGCCACCTCCACGTAGGAGTTAATTCGAGGTTGACGATTATGCACCTTGGGCTTCGCTGACACCACTGGACGAGAAAGAAGAAGTCCGAGGAGTCAGAGGGTTTCCAGATGCCCCCCTGTGGCAGATGTTCTGGCTCTTTCTGGTTGTTTCTTTGAAAAAAATTAATTTGTTTTGTCCTGATTCTCAAAACTTTTTATTTTTCTCTTCTCTCCAGCTCCTCTCTCTAAAAACTTTTTAAAGAAATATGAGTATATAAAAAAATAGAAAGTAAAAAAAAAAAAAATCACTCCTAACCTGAAACCATTGGAATAATTACTGTTAATTATCATTACCAATTTATCACTGGTAAATCTCCTTTCAGACTTTCATCTTTTATTTCCTCAATTCTTTAAAAATTATTCTCCACAACAAATCCATCTTAAATGTCTGCAATCTAAGCCTATAGTATGGATATGTTAACTATTCTTTCATTGTTAAAAAGAGTGCTTATAATTTTTTGCTCTGGGAAAATTACCCTGAATGTATACATTTGCATGCATTTCTTGAGTATTCCTCCAAACGATACAAACGTTTTTTAAAGTTCTTAAAACTGCTTAATTCCTTTCCAAAAAAATGTAAACCCGAGCTGACTCCCATTGGTACAACAGGAGTATATCCATTTCACCAAACACTGCAGAGTGCTGAGTACTAAGCTATTTCACTTTTTGCAAATCACAAAGGTAAAAATAGTATAAAAAGAATAGCTAACCTTTATTGAGCATTTAATACAGACACTATGCCATGTACACATTATCTAACTGACTCCTCTCAACAGATCCATAGGCAGGGAATATATTATCACCTCCCTTATCAGGGAGGAAACAAGCTTGAGAAGCAAGGTCATTGTCCCAGGCAAGTGAGCTACAAGCCACAATGTGCACCCAGCCAACCTGACTCTACACCATGTTGTGTGTCACTATCAAACTTTGCTCATTTGTTCTCTTGCTATTCTTCAATTACTAGGTAGGTTGAATATTTTTTCCATGCACTTATTAATGAATTACATTTCCTCTTTGGCTCCTAGCCTTCATGTGGCAGCATTTCCCACGTGCATTTGGGCTCAGCAAGCCAAAGACACACAGAGCACAAAGCTAAGCAAGGATTACACCTGAGAGCTAGACAAGTGTCCTCATGTCATGTGCATTACCTATGGTGGGAATTCCAGGTCCTAGGAAGAAACACATCTAGACATCTTCCATCCTGTGTCCCAAATCCAAGCATGATGTCCCTTGCCAATAATGGCAAGACTACTCTAGCCTGATCCCCCCTCTGTTGAATATTAGCAAACCTCTCCCTCCCAGGCCCTTCAGACAGTCCTATCATGGCCTGCAACTTGGCAAAGATGAAATCCACCTCCAGGTTGGTTTTTTTTTTTTGTAATAACTGTCTTCCCCAGGCCCCAAAGGAACTGTAGGAAAGAAGCCAAGAAGCAAAAAACATAGTTGTGGCTAAGATTCAGAAGCAACAAGGGATGGTTCTAAAAATAAAGCTTTGTGGCCCTGAGGCATGGCTCAGAGCAGGAAAATGAGAGCCAGTTCTTTACACATGGACTGAGGTTAAATGAGGCCACCTGGTGGTGAGAGAGTAGATCTGCAGGCCTTTTACTTAAAAAAAAAAAAATAGGGACTACACATGTTTGGACAGGACAGTTTGTCTCACGATTTTTCCACTGTGTGATGGCGCAAGAGTAGAAACTGTACTTTGAATTCTGAATTTTGATCTTGTCCTAGACTAGACATATGCAGTATTGGGCAGCAGCAGCGAGCCACAGCTTCTGGTCAGCCGCATGATGATGGGGGCAAACAACTGACACTGTCGTATGACATACTGTGTTCCCAGATGATTTTGCCCAACTGTAGACTGATGTAAGTCTTCTGAACACATTTAAGGTGGGCTAGGCTGGCAGGAACCTGTAATTCCAGCACTTCCAGAGGCCAGGGCAGGAGGATTGCTTGGGGTCAGGAGTTCGAAACCAGCCTGGACAACATAACAATACCCTGTCTCTACAAAAAATGAAAGAAATCAACCAGGCACAGTGTCACTGTAGTCCTGCCCAGCTACTCTGGAGGCTGAGGTGGGAGGATCCCTTGAGCTCAGGATTTTGAGGTTGCTGTGAGATCAGATCACACTACTACACTCCAGCCTGGGCCACAGATCAAGACCTTAACAACAACAACAAAGTGGGCTAGGCTAAGCTACAATGTTCAGTGGGATAGGTGTATTCAATGCATTTTCAATTTACGATATTTTCAACTTAGGGATTTGTCGGGATAGAACCCCATTATAAGTCAAGGAGTATCTGTACTTATCATTAGAGACCTATAATTTTGAGCTGGACAATCTCTTTCAAATCAAGAAATTCAAACTCTTTATTTCATAGTTGGGCCAACTAAGATTCAGGAAGGTGAAATAACTTATCCCAAATCATGGAGTGAATCAGAGAAGAGCTAAGACTGGAATCAAGTCTCCCAGCTCCTATCAACTCCACTGTGGTGTATCCTTTTTGTTGCCCTGTAGCTTTTTTTTCCTTAGAATTTTGTTTTTACTTTGTTATATTTTGATATAATTTCAGACTTACAGAAAACTTGTATGAATGAATAATACAAAGAATTCCTCAGTCACCTCATATTAACTTTTGACTATATTTGCTTTATTATAATTTTTTCTCCCCTAACTCAAATTTTGCCAACTGTCCTATCAAAGTCCACCACAGCGAAAGAGAAAGGAAAAATTGTTTCTGGTCCAGGACCCAACAACTTAGGATCGCATGCTACATTTAGTAGTCTTATTTTGAAGTTTCCCATCTATAGAAAAGTTGAAACAATAGAACAAATATTTATATACTCTTTATCAATTGTTACCATTTTGAAACATTTGTTGTGTGTTGTATATGTACGTATGTATCAGCGCTGTCCAAGAGAATTTCTGTGATAATGAAAATGTTCTAAATCTATGCTGTCCAAAACATTGCTATGAGACACATGTTGCTAGCAAGCACTTGAAATATGACAAGTGCAAACGAGGATGTGAATTTTAAATTTTATCTAATGTTAATTAAAATATAAATAGTTCTATGTGGCTACAGTGGTGACCCTACTGGACAGCACAGGTTATAAATATATGCCATCTATATGCATGCATGTATGTATGTATCTACACCGTTTTTTGGAAAACCATTTGAAAACAAGTTGTAGATATCACGACAGATCAGCCCTAAATGCTTTCAGAATGCAACTCCCAAGAAGGAGGACACTGTCCCACCTAACCACACCACCATTGTCATATCTAAAAAAATTGAGTCACTACCTCTTATCATCTGATATCCAGTCAAAAACCTAATTTCCCAAATTGTTGCAAACATATTTTTACAGCTGCTATTTCCCACAATCCAGGATCCAATCAAAATACACAAAACGCACGTGGCTACTGTCTCCATAACCTTTGAAAATCTAGAACACCCTCCCTTGTTTTCCATGACAATAATTTTGAAAGACTTCTACCAGCTATTTTATAGAATGTGCCACATTCTGCATTTTTCTGATTGTTTCTTCATGATTAGATTCACTTTAAATATTTTTGTCAGGAATACAACATAAGTTACGTCATGTACCTCTTATTATATACCGTATGCTAGCCTCCTACTGGGGATACTAAGTTCAAGTCCTTGGTTAATGTGGAGTCAGCCAGGTCTCTCTACTATAAAGATACATTTTTTTCCCTCTATAATCTATATTAATGGTTAATCAGTGGAGTGATATTTTGAATATCTGTTATTCCTTTTTTTTTTTTTGAGACAGAGTCTCGCTTTGTTGCCCAAGCTAGAGTGAGTGCCATGGCATCAGCCTAGCTCACAGCAACCTCAAACTCCTAGGCTCAAGCAGTCCTCCTGCCTCAGCCTCCCGAGTAGCTGGGACTACAGGCATGCGCAACCATGCCCGGCTAATTTTTCTATATATATTAGTTGGCCAATTAATTTCTTTCTATTTTTAGTAGAGACAGGGTCTCGCTCTTGCTCAGGCTGGTGTCAAACTCCTGACCTCAAGCAATCCGCCTGCCTCGGCCTCCCAGAGAGCTAGGATTACAGGCGTGAGCCACCACGCCTGGCCTGAATATCTGTTATTCTTAAAAAAACAAGCCCAAGTACATCTTCCATTGTCCATGGAGGTAAAAAAGAAAAAAACAACAAAAAAAGCCAAAATAAAGGCCTCAAGATATGAGCAACTTTATCTACAAAGTCTATTCACTGCTTCATGAAATATAAATATCAGTTTATTATATATGGAATCACGTCTTCAGGTAGAACGTAGCTTTTGAAGTCAACAAGTAAGGCAAAAATCACATAATACCAAAATAATACCCTTGCAAAGCTCTTAAGAAAGCACCACAATAGAGTCTGGCATGTTGTCTTTCAACAGGCTCCCAAGAGTCTGTTTTTTGCTTTGTTAGGCTGTATTGTTCAGGGTTCAATTTTTCACTGTTTCTTGAGTTAAATATCAAATAAAATAGCTGGCTTATGTTTAAGGGCCTTGAGGTATTTCAACATGTACCTTAAAACTCTAGGATCACACTGTGGATGGCACAAGGGAACTGAGGCAAACAGAAGGCACTATAACACCCCCACATCACACTGTCGGCTCTCTCAGCGCAGTGCCTGGGAAAAAGAACCACCCATGCTAGGCCGGCGCGATGGCTCACACCTGTAATCCTAGCACTCTGGGAGGCCACGGCAGGCGAATCACTCAAGGTCAGGAGTTCGAAACCAGCCTGAGCAAGAGTGAGACCCCCATCTCTACTAAAAATAGGAAGAAATTAATTGGTCAACTAAAAATATATAGAAAAAAATTAGCCGGGCATGGTGGTGCATGCCTGAAGACCCAGCTACTTGGGAAGCTGAGACAGGAGGATCACTTGAGCCCAGGAGTTTGAGGTTGCTATGAGCTAAGCTGATGCCACAGCACTCTAGCTGGGGCAACAGAGTGAGACTCTGTCTCAAAAAAATAAAAAATAAATAAAAAAATAAAAAGAACCACCCATGCTACTTAAATTGTTTTTATTTCTCTCTTTCTCCCCCATTTTCCTGGATGGTATTATCAAATCTCTATAAGTTAAATGATCATATACTGAGATCTACCTGTATTATCAAGTTATCTCTTTCCACACCAGTAAAAAAATCTACCTTGAGGAAAGACAACAGAGAAACCTTTAGAAATAAGCATGTGTTCATGAACAATATGATCCCAAGACAGGGACCTTAGGATGTTACCAGAGTCCATGGGCAGGCTTCTGCTTTGACCTATCCTTGCTAATTATTAGCTGATGTAGTCCCAAGTTCAAAACCAAATCAGTTCCCTTTAACCCATCTCCCTACTTAAAAGGGTTGGAGCTGCCATGAGACTCCAGGAAAAATAATTCAAATGTTTCAAGACTACAAAAAAAAAATCAATAACTCAATAGGAAACAGGCAAAGAATATGACTACACATTCCAAAATACACACCATCACAGTTGACTCTTGAACAACACAGGTTTGAACTTTGAGGGTTCACTTATATATGGATTTTCTTCCACCTCTGTCCATACCTAAGACTGCAAGACCAACCCCCTTTCTTCCACGCTACTCCTCAGCCTACTTAATGTGAAGACCATGAGGATAAAGACCTTTATTACTTTATGGTAAGAAGACAGGATATAACACACATATCATTAAAATATGCGTTACTCGACTGTTTATGTGATCAGTAAGGCTTCCGGCCAAGTCAGCTACCAACAGTTAAGTTTTTTTTTTTTTTTTTTTTCTAAGCTTAGAGAGAGGCTAAACAGTTAAGTTTTGAGGGTCAAAAATTAGACGCAGATTTTCAACCGCATAGGGCATCCCTAACCCCCACGCTATTCAAGGGTCAACTGTATAACTAAAGAAGTGGGAAATAAAACTACACTGAGAAAATAAGCTTTTACCAATCAGATGGGCAAAAAATAAAAAGCCTGACAACACACTGTGCTGGTAAAGTTATGGGGAAACAGGCACTCTCATACATTGCCAGAAGAGTATTTCTTCCAAGAAATGCAATCTGGCTTTCAAAATTACAAAAATTCATCCCCTTGGATACATCTTGAAAGGGACACACAAGAAACAAATAATATCATTTCCTCCAAGCAGGAACTCAGAAGGGCTGGAGGAAAGAATTTTGAGCCACATGAATGTACTAAATAAACGAGTAACATTTATATGTCAAAAATACTAACAAAAAATATTGTCAAGAAATATAATTTTGCCTCCAGAGGGCCATGTTGAGGAATCTGAGCTCAGACTCTGAGTGGTGCTCGCCTATCCCGGGCATCTGCTCAGTCCCATGACTCCTGCAGAATGCCAGCGACTGAAGCAACATTCATTCAGGCAGTATTTATTAAGGGCCCACTATGTGTCAGGCACTGTTCTAGTGCCTGGAGTACTGAAAGTGACCAAAACAGACAAAAATCCCCGTTCTCGTGGAGCTTACATTCTCAATTTGAAAAAGATTGTTGATAAATGAAATACATAAAAAAAATGTGAGTATGTTAAATAGTGACAAGGACTGAGAAGAACAGCTGGAGAGGAAGGTGGCTTTAGATGGGGGGTCAGGAAGGCCTCATTGAACAGGGTGACTTTTGAGCTAAAAGCATTTTGCTCAGAGGGAGCAGCAAGTGCAAAGGCCCAGAGGCAGAAGCCTGCCCGATGTATTCGATGAGAGCAAGGAGTCCCACGTGGTTGGAGCCCCGGAAATGACAAAGTGACAAGATCCAGCTTATGGCTGGGCATGGTGGCTCACGCCTGTAATCCCAGCACTCTGGGAGGCCGAGGGAGGTGGATCATTTGAGCTCAAGAGTTCGAGATCAGCCTGAGCAACAGCAAGACCCTGTCTCTACTAAAAATAGAAAGAAATTAATTGGCCAACTAATATATATAGAAAAAATTAGCCGGGCATGGTGGCACATGCCTGTAGTCCCAGCTATTTGGGAGGCTAAGGTAGGAGGATGACTTGAGCCCAGGAGTTTGAGGTTGCTGTGAGCTAGGCTAACACCACAGCACTCTAGCCCAGGCAACAAAGTGAGACTCTGTCTTAAAAAAAAAAAAAAAAAATCCAGCTTATTCTTTTTTTGTTGTTTTCTTTTTAGAGATAGATTCTCACTCTGTCATCCAGGCTGGAGTGCAGTAGCATGATCACAGCTTACTGCAGCCTCCAATTCCTGGGCTCAAGTGATCTCCCCGCCTCAGCCTTCCCAGTAGCTGGGACTACAGGTGCATGCCACTACGCCCACTCCAGCTTAGCTTTTAACAAGAACACTGACTGCTCTGTGACTAACAGGCTAAAGGAGGCTAAAGAGCAGAGCAGCAGACAGGCTGGGAGGCTACTGTCTCAACGCAGGGTGAAGATGATGACAGCTTAGACTAGCCTGAGACAGTAGGAGTGGTGAGAAATGGCAGCTATTGGATACATTTTGAAGACAGAGCAAACCAGATTTGCTGATAGGTTGAATACAAGACATGAGAAAGAAAAGTCAGGAGCTCAGTTACAGACATGTTAAATTTACATGTTTACCAAATATTCAAGTGGAAGCAACAAGTTAGCTACTGGATATAAGAATCAGGAGTTCAGAGGAAAGGCCCAGAGGGAGTGACCTTATATTGGTGGCATTTAAAGCCATAAGGTTGGAAGAGATAACCTAGGGAGTGACTATAAACAGAAAAGAGTCCTTGGGTATGAAGAAATCACCATTTTAAACAATTTTAGCCTAAAGTTCCTTTTTTTTTCTTCTTCTTCAAGTTATTTTCTTTCTTCTTCAAGAATTCCAGCTACAGGGCCTGGCACAGTGGCTCACGCCTATAATCCTAGCACTCTGGGAGGCCGAGGCAGGAGGATCACTCAAGCTCAGGAGTTCGAAACCAGCCTGAGCAAGAGTGAGATCCCATCTCTACTAAAAATAGAAAGAAATTAATCAGCCAACTAAAAATATATAGAAAAAATTAGCCAGCCATGGTGGCATATGCCTGTAGTCCCAGGTGCTCATTAGGCTGAGGCAAGAGGATCACTTGCGCCCAGGAGGTTGAGGTTGCTGTGAGATAGGCTGATGCCATGGCACTCTAGCCCGGGCAACAGAGTGAGACTCTGTCTTAAAAAAAAAAAAAAAAAAAGAATTCCAGCTACAATATGACAATCCTATGAGGATGAATAGCTACACTGGTAAGCTATTTTACAAAACTTGGCTCGCCAGGTGTGGTATAATCCACCTCTTCCCCACGGTACGGTAAACGATTCACACAGTGCCACTCACCTTTCAAAGTAAGCTGAGACTTCTCGAAAGGCAGGGCCACTCCTGCCCGGCTGGAGCTGGCAGATGCCATATCATCACCATGAACCTGCAAGACAGAGCAGTGGGTTTAGAGAATATCTGATAAGACGACTGAGGAGCTGAACTCAATTTTAACATTTAAGTTTAAAGAAACAGAGGCAAGAAAACATAAACATCCAAGCAACAGTGGCCACGCTACTTCAGACAGGGTACTGTCTGTCTTCTGATGACCCTTGAACCTGGATAGGTCTTGGATGGTCTAGGAAGGACACAGGACTGTTACATGTTATAACAAAGTGTGGAAGAGAGCAAGGCTAATTACAATATCTCCAAAAAAAAAAGTCACAGCTTAACAATACAAAGACAATTTAATCTAGTGTGTTACATGAGAGGCAAGTTTTTTGCCAATATCATGAGGGTCTCTGGCCCAATGAATAGAGTTTGATAGTAATCCTTGCTATCAGTATAATGTAAAAAAAAAACAAAGAAAGAAAAGACAACTAATCCAATTTTTTAAATGGGTAAAAGATCTGAATAGACATTTATTCAAAGAAGACACCCAAATGGCTAATTAGCACACTAAAATAATCTCAACATTAGGCATCAGTTATCTCTATCTCTGTATCTTGACTAAACGCAGAAATCTATCTTGCACTTTGAATGGATCTTTTACTCACATGTGATTTTGGAACACCATCATTTGTCATTTGGAAAATATTAGTTCATTGAGTTATGCAGATACGCCAAATGTTAACACATTTCATTATGCAATATAAAAAAATTATATTTGTGAATGTCACCACTAACTTCATCAGACAAGTCTTTAAGCATCAGGAAGCTGTTGAGCTCTTGGTGGTAAAATAAGTGTTCCAAAATTCTAATTTCACTTAAAAACTCATATTTTAAGCCGGCTGCCATGGCACATGCCTGTAGTCCCAGCTACTCAAGAGGCTGAGATGGGAGGATCGCTTGAGCCCAGGAGTTCAATATCAGCCTGGGCAACACAGAGAGACCCCGTTTCAAAAACAAACAAAAAAACACCCTTATATTTATCATAGGCAGCAAATACTGTCAGTGGTTTTCCTTAAAGTGTCAGGCTCACTTCATTCATTTTCAAGAAAACGTCTGCCAACCACGCAAATCTAGTAACGTTCATTTGTCTACTAGTTTTTTGTGTGTTTTCTTTTAAGTAGAAATGGTATTTCACCAAAAAAGCAACTAATCCAGCTCTCAATCCAAACAACCATACCCCTGCTTTCTCTCGACACACGGTCAAACTTCAACGTGCAGCAGAGGAGCTTTGGGCGTATTTCCCATTGCAACAGACAGAGTATTATAATGAATGTGCTCAGGAGTCAGGACTTCATCCAATTAATAAATGTTACTGCTTCATCAAGGACATTCTTACATGAAACTGGCATTTTCTTTTCTTTCTACTGAGAGCGTTTTGTGGTGAAGAATACCATGGCAACAGCACGGCCTGCTTCATGCTGGCCCCGGCAGCGTTGCCCACCTTTGCTTTTGCACCACCAGTGCAAATGGCATCACAGTGAAAAGGCAAATAAAGAATTCGTGTTATTAGGAAAATAGTTTTGACCTTGCAGAAGACTAGACGAGTCTCAGAGGCCTCCAGATGCCCAAGGATCATACTTGAGGAATGCGGCTGTAAAAATACTGTAAAATTCCTGTTCTAAGGCCGGGCGCGGTGGCTCACGCCTGTAATCCTAGCTCTCTGGGAGGCCGAGGCGGGCGGATTGCTCAAGGTCAGGAGTTCGAAACCAGCCTGAGCAAGAGCGAGACCCCGTCTCTACTATAAATAGAAAGAAACTAATTGGCCAACTAATATATATAGAAAAAATTAGCCAGGCATGGTGGCACATGCCTGTAGTCCCAGCTACTTGGGAGGCTGAGACAGAAGGATAGCTTGAGCCCAGGAGTTTGAGGTTGCTGTGAGCTAGGCTTACGCCACGGCACTCACTCTAGCCTAGGCAACAAAGCAAGACTCTGTCTCAAAAAAAAAAAAAAAAAAAAATTCCTGTTCTAATCAACATCATTAATACCTTCTTTCATTCTACATGTATACAACCTCTCCCCCGACTTCCTATTTTATTTTATATTTTATTATTATTATTATTATTATTTTAGAGACAGGGTCTTGCTATATTGCCCAGGCTGGAACACAGTGGCTACTCTCAGGTGCAATCATAACTCGCAGAAGCCTTGAACTCCTGGGCACAAGCAATCCTCCTAACTTGGCCTCCTGAGTAGCTGGGACTACAGGTGCATACCACTGAGCCTACCACCTGATTTCCCATTTTAAAGAGCTGTTCAGCCTTAAAACATGGTTATTAACTCACCATGTTACTCTAAGAATAGAAGCCCTTTCTATGAGAATGAAATGTAACTACAGCAAAGTATTAATAACATTGATTTTGACATTTTTCCGTAGTTAAAGTCAAACGGTTTTGTGCTTTAAGATTTTTAGTGGGCTAATCAGTCTGTGATTCTCCCCGTGTAGAAATGTTAAATAAATTTCGATACCAAAAAAAAAGATTTTTAGCAAAACAAAACAGAATTTGTCTTATTTGTAAGCTATATCCAGTTTCCAAAAAGATGTAAAGTAGCTTGTTTTTTCTGGACTAGTCTATCATAGGCATTTCACTTCAGCGGAAGCCTCTGAAAACATTACTTAGAGCAAAAGGAATATAAAACCAAAGCTCTTCCTACCAAGGTCTCGAATGATCTCTGCATTACTAAATCCAGTGGTGACTCTCAGTCCTCCTATGGGACTACCCTATTGGCGGCATCTGGCACAACTGATCACCCTTCCATCCTGAACCCTTTCTTCCCTTGGCTTCCAGGACACCGTACCTGCCTGATCCCCTGTAGCCTCCCAGGCTGCCAGCCTCGGACTTCTTTGAGAGCTCCTTTCCCCTCGTCAACCTCTGGCCATCAGAGTGTCCCACACCTCAGGCCTCAAGCCGCTTCTCTTGGCTATCTCAGCCTGTCTTGGGCTTTAGATCTCATCTACCCACTGACAATCCCAAATTCAGGTGTCCAGAACCTCAGACCCTCAGATCCACTGGCTTACTGGCAAGGTGAGCTTCTGATATTCCCCTCCATCCTGCTCCCCCAGTCCTCCCCAGATTAGCTCATGACAACTCCTTCCACCCAGCAGTGTGGACCAACATCCTGGGACTTATCCTTACTTCCCCTTTCCTCCTCACACCCTAGATCCAATCTGTCAATAAGCCCAATGGTTCTACTTTTAAATATTTTCAAATTCAACCATCTTAACACCTGTACTGTCACCACCTGAGCCCAAAGGGCGAAGGTCTGTCACCTGAATATTGCTTTTTCTGCTTCTGTCCTTTGCCCCTTTCAATCTAAACTCTAAATTCGACAATCAGAGTCATTTTTTAAATTATATGTGAGACCATGTCACTGTGATGTCCAAAACCATCCCACAGTTGCCATCTGCTTGGACTGAATGTGTCCCCCAAAGTTCATGTTTTGGCAACTTAACCCCCAATTCAACAGTACTAAGAGGTAGAATCTTTAAGAGGTGATTAACAGATTAATGTCATTACAATGGGTGTGAGTTCATTATCTCAAGAGTGGGCTGGTTATAAAAGCAAGTTTGGCCCCCTCTTGTTCTCTCGCCCTTCTGACTTCCATATGGGATGACGCAGCACAAAGCCCTTTGCCAGGATGTGGTCCTCTTGACCTTGGACTTCCCAGCCTCCAGAACTGCAAGAAATGTATCTCTAGTCTTTATAAATTATCTAGTCTCTGGCATTATTATAGCAGCACAAAACAGACTAAGACACAGTCTAACACAGAGTGAAAATCAAAGTCCTTAAAATGACCTTGAAGGGCCCAAGCAGTATGCTCCTCGAACTTCCACATACTACTTTGACCACATCGGCCACTTCCCTCCCCACTCTGTCCCCACACATCAACTCCCTTGAACATGCACACACACTCCCACCTCTGTCTTTGCACCCCCTCGTCTAGAATGCTCTTCCTCTAGCTGTCCACATACAGGGCTTATTCCCCAACTGCCATCAGGCATTTACTCAAAGGTCTCTTTCTTGAGCGACCTTCCTTCCCTATTTCACTTTTTTTCCTTTATCACTGGCAATGCCTCATACCATATTTATTTGCTGTATTTATTGCCTGTCTCCCTCCACTAAAAGGTAATTTTCTCGAGGACCACGATGTTTGTCTCACCTGTTAGCCCTACAGCCCTAGTGTCTAGAATGGTACCTGGTTCTTGGTAGGAACTCCATAAATTATTTACTGAATGAATGAAATTGAACACCAATTTTCTGAAATTTCAGAAGATGATATTTTGACTCCCCTAGACTAAATTTGTTTTGGTGAATCAGGAAAAAGACAAACTCTCCTTGCTACCCATCAGATTAGAAAGAGATGAGAAAACTGACAATAAGTGTTGGTGAGAAGTCTCACACAATTCTGCCAAAGGGGCACATTAGATGGCATGTGACAACCTCCCATAGAGTTAAAGACACATACATTGTACCCCCCAGAATTCTACTCCCAGGCATTTGTGAGAGGAAAATTCTCCAACAAACACAGAAGAAGCCATGTTTAGGGATGTTCATGAGATCGATGTTTATAATAGCAAAACACTCTAAACGATCTCAGTATCCATCAATCAGGAAATAGATGAATTGTGGTATATTTCTAAAATGGAATGGTATACAGTAACTGAAATGTATGAATTCAAGCCACATGTACAGATCCCGAACTATAATGATAATGGACAAAAAAAAAAAATGCAAGTGACACCCTACGTACAATATGATGCCATTGGTATACACTTGAACTTACACAAAACAGCTCCATATACTACTGTGGACACACAAATGTAATAAAAGTATAAGGCATGGACAGGCAGGAACAATCCCAAGTTCAGAGTAGAATTTCCCTCTTGGGTAGGGGAATTGGAGAGAGCAGAGAGACCAGGGGAACTTCAACTGTCTCTACAACATTTTATCTTTTAAAGAAAAAAGTTCCAGAGCAAATATGGCAAAATGTTCG